CCCATTCAACCCCGCTCCTGCCTATCCGGAAAACTAAACGGCGCAGCACCCGGAGGTGACGCTGAATTGTCGACTTCCTCCACGAATTCTCTCTTGACGCATCCCACGCGCCAAAGTTTGTTAGACTTTGACGTTGATGGTGTGAGTATTTCTGCCCTTATCTATACCGGAGCGCACATTTCTGTAATGAGCGTGAGCCTTCGCCGACGCCGGTATAGTATTCACGCCTGCCGCTTCCCGCACGCTCCGAATCGCTGATGGAAGGATCCTTGCCGTTCAATATTGTGTACGGCCCGTGTGTCTATTGCCATTCATCCTGCATTAGTTCCGTTTGCAGTCATTAAAATGCGTCCTCACGACCTAATACTTGGTTCGGACTTCCTGTCACGTCATTCTGTGCTCATTGATTGTGCCACTGGTGCACTTCAGCTTTAGCTGCCGCAGCTTGCTGATTTTCCAGCTGACCAGTATCCACGTTTATGATCTCGCTGCCACGTTCGCTTGCTTCCTCAAGCTGCTACAAACGTCACTTTGTCTTCGTACTCACGTGATGTGCCCGATGGTGACTACCTCGTCACTGATGACCCGAGACATCGCCTTTGCTCACTCTGTTGTCTCCATCGCTGATGATACAGTGGTCATACCCCTACTCAACGTCAGTCTCTTGACTCAAGTTATTCCGCAAAACATTTCTTTGGCCACACTATCTCCACTTGACAGCTGCAACGTTACTGGTTTGAACACCGATGCTACATCCCCCTGTCCCGGCCGCAATCACACTCAGCCTGCCGATGACATTAACAAGGCGATTGCTCCCGATCTCACCCCCAGCGCAAGCTGCCGGTCTCCGTCGTCTGCTAACATCATATCGAGCCATTTTCGAATTTGACCACCACCTTCTCGGCCAAACGACTGTCGTGCCTCACCGGATCAACACTGCTGATGCCAGTCCTATATAGCAGCGTACATATTGCGTATCTCACCAGGAACGCTAAGTATTTCAAAATGAAGTGGACAAAATGAATAATAAAGACGTCATAGAACGACCGTCCAGACCCTGGGCCTCCCAAGTCGTGCTCCTTGAAAAGAAGGGTGGCAGCTGGCGCTTGTGCGTGGACTATCGCCATTTAAAGAAAGTCACTCATAAAGATGTCTAACCTTTGCGTCGGATTGATGGCACCCTCGATTGCCTCCATGGTGCCCAATACCTTTCGTCTATCGACCTTCGGTCCAGCTACTGGCAAATTTCCGTCGACCCCATGTACCACGAAAAAACCACTTTCGTTATGCCCAATGGCATCTACCAGTTCAAAGTCATGCCATCCGGGCTATGTAATGCGCCGGCAACGTTTGAGCGCATGATGGACTTCCTTCTTTCAGAATATAAGTGGTACATCTGCTTATGTTACTAGAATATGTCATCGTCTTTTCACCTACCTTTCACAGCGATCTCACACGTCTGTCGGCCATTCTGGATGTTTTTAGAAGAGCTGCCCTCCAGCTCAATTCTGCGAAATGCCATTTCAGACGTCGCCAAATCAACATATTCGACCACCTTGTCAGTGCCGCTGGTATTCAACAGGATCCCGACAAGGTGGGAGCAGTACGAGAATGTCCCGTCTCACGTTCAACAAAGGACGTCTGAAGTTTTGTAGGGCTAAGTTCCTATTTTCTTCGATTTGTCCGAAACTTTGCAGACGTCGCCCGATCGCTTACTGATCTCTTGAAAAAAGGACGTTCCTTACGTTTGGGGCGTAGACAATGTGAATGCCCTTTCGGCTCTTATCCATCGACCGACGACGCCAGAAATACTGGCCCATTTCACCCTGCATCTCCTTCATAGCTTCATACCAATGCCAGATGCCATGGAATCGGGATGGAAGGACTACGGAATTGCTTACGCCAGTCGTATTCTTTCGCCTGCCGAACAAATGTTCTCAATCACTAAGCGCGAATGTCTAGCTTTAGTGTGGGCCGTCACAAAATTCAGGCCTTACCTGTTTGGCCGAACGTTTTTCGTTGTAACTAACCATCACGCTCTCTGCTAGCTCAAGTCACTAAAGTACCCATCCGGACGTCTCGGCCGCTGGGCGCTCCGTCTGCAAGAATACTCGTTCATGGTTCACTACAAGTCGGGAAGCCTGCACACAGACGCAGGCTGTTTGTCCCGTCATCCAGTTGAAACCTCCGACTTGACAGACCTTGAGCCAGACCCCTGCGTGTTCTCCATCTACGCTTTGGGTGGTATCTCCACCGAACAACGACGTGACCCGTCGTTACTCTCCATAATCCAGCGTCTGACCTCTGCTTCAACAGACCTTTCCGTTCGCCTGTTCGAACTGCACGACAACATTCTGTACTATCGCAGGCTTAACGCCGATGGCCCGGAATCTCTACTCGTGCTTCCCCATCATCTGCGTACCAGCGTTCTCGAACAATTCTATGACGTATTTACAGCCGGTCACCTATAGGCGTCTTTGTACCTAAGATCGCGTGTGACGTTGCTTTTTCTGGTCCGGCCTGTATCGTTCCGTGGTTCGTTATGTCACTGCTTGCGACAGCTGCCAACGCCACAAGCGCCCTTCTGTGCTTCCGTCACGCCTCCTACAGTCCATCGACATACCAAGGAAACTATTCTTTCGTGTTGGCTTTGTTTTGTTGGACCCGTTTCCTACGTCCACCCCTGGATATAAATGGGTTGCAGTCGCTACAGATTACGCCACACGCTTTGCCATCACTAAAGCACTACTGACAAGCTGTTCCACTGACGTCGCTGACTTTTTCTTGTATGAAGTCATTCTTCATCATGGCGCTCCACGGCAGCTGCTTACTGATTGAGGAAGGTACTTCCTTTCACGTGTTGTGGATGACATGCTCCACGCCTGCTCCACTGAGCACAATCATACAACCGCTTATAATTCACAGACGAACGGATTGACCGAGCGTCTGAACCGAATGCTGACGCTAATGCTGCCAATGTACGTTTCGCCAGATCACCGTGACTGAGACAAAGCACTCCCCTTTGTCACCTTTGCGTACAACTCTTCACAGAATGACACTGCTAGTTATTGTTTTATTTGCTATTTGGCCGATATATCCTTGTCTACTGACTATGTCAGCGATGTCGTTTCTCGAGCCAATGCAGCCATTGAGCTTGCCCATGACCGGCAACACTTGTCGCAAGAGCACCAAAAAAAAAAAAAACCGTTATGGCAGTCGCCACCGAAGCATGCACTGCCCGCCGGGGTCTTTGGTCCTTCTCTAGACACCAAACCGCCAAATCGGCTTATCAACCACTTGGGTACGCGACAGACCCCTAAACAATGCCTCTTCGACCCCCTCACTCCAGACGGACGTTGTGCACGTTTACCGACTCGAACCGTATCACCCTGCCAGTTCGTCGCTGCCATACCAAGCGCCGTGACGGCGTTTCCACCACGGGGGAGTGAAGTTACGGTGTGTCGTCGATATAAGCAAGCGTGGCACTTCACGAAGATGACGAAGATGCCCGTGCGTTAAGTGCTGGCGCGAGAGGCAACTCAGCCAGCTTGTCCGGCTGCTGATTCTCCGTTGACGTTGCACTATAAACCTATATCTCTCTCCGTCACAATACGATCAAGTGCTACGGGACTCCAACAGGCAAAAAACAGTTTTCCACCCTCGCCGTCATGGCAACTGGCGACGCTGAGTGACGCTTCCACGTTTAGATGCACATATGTATCCTATATAAAGTGGACGGGTGGGATGACCGCCTTCGTAGCTCAGTGGTAAAGCATGGGAGACGTTATTAGAAGGTGGCTCGGTCGGCCTCTGCCAGCGGCAACTTATCTGTTCACCCATTTTTCTTTTTTCATAATCAAACTACGATAACTTCGAACAATACCCCCAATACTTTAATTGGCATCAATGTCTGTTAATTCTCATTAATATTGAATCTACAGAAAAGAGAGCCCTAAATATAAACTAAGTGACTGAGCGGTACATACCACGAACACTGTAGAAAATTGAAATTGTGTACTTGGAAATCGGGATAGCAACATCTAAATATGTTTCAGTCGATAAGGCATTCGATGCAAACTTTACCATAAAGAACAACTGTGTGAGCGTTGACAAAAATGCGCTGACAAATATAGTTATGAGTAATACTTTTCATGGCAGTACAATGATAAAACGTAAAAAAGGGGGTTTTTTATTGCTTAAAATAAGAATCAATGGACACATTGCGGTGTGTCGTGTGGTGTGTCAAGACATTGGTTCGTACTCATTCTCTGGTGATGCTGAGCATTGCTGTTACGCACATTATTGGTTTCTCACGATGTATTCAGGCATACGTACGCAAGGCGCGCTGATAAACACAGTGAGAAAAAACAGAACCAGCGCATTGTGAAGTACCACACATGATCCCTATATTACTATATGAAAGGCCATACGGAAGGCATATCGTTTCTTCAGGCTTGATTGATATGTTAGGTTGAACGTCCCGAAACCACCGCAAGATTTTGAGAGATGCCGTAGTGGGGGGCTCCGGAAATTTAATGTGCACTTTAACGTGGACCCAAACCTGAGCAAACGGGCCTACAGCATTTTCGCTTACATCGAAAATGCAGCTGCCGCAATCCCGCGACCTGCGTGTCAATAGCCAAGTACCTTAGCTACTAGACCACCACGGCGGGGCGTTTCGTCAGGCGTACTCGCTCATTTTGCAACCAAACATATCCCCCTACACGGATCTGTTCCGCAAATATTTCTTTGCCGCGTTCCGACTGTTTACTGGAAGCTCTACTTAAGACATCAATAACGTCTAGACTTAAATAAACGGCGAGCACACACTCAGCTGGCTTTTTATGGCAAGCTTATGAACGACAGACTCTGTACTCTTTCACCCTCTTTACTTGCGCTTTAAGTTTATTTTTTTCTTGCAGTACTAACCACGCCGTTTTGAAATGCGCTTAGATACGCCGCCAGGCTATGCGAAGCACTCTATCCGCTACTGCAAAATGGGAAGACAGACGCACATGTCGGAAGTGAGGCGGTTAACAGGGGGCACCGAAGCGACGACAGTTGATACGACGCGCCTCGAGGCAGCAATTAGAAGTTCCAAGGAGTCGGGCCGGATGGCCGCTTAAGGGAGAGGGTTCGAACGCAGAGAGGAGGATAGGGCCCAGACGACGGAGCAGAAGTTTGTTGCGCGGCTAATCTTTGACCTCGCGCGAACGGGCGCTGGCGCTGCCAACGTATTACGAGGGTTCCAGCGCCAATCTATGCACTGAATGCGTGCACGAGCGAGTAACATGTGACAGCGTGGTGAGACAAATGTGGCGCTGAAGAAAGAGGCTGCCATGACGAGCAAAACAAGGATGCTGCCGAACGTCAAGTTCGTGTTCTTTGTGCTCGCCCTGACAGGCAGTGCTTTCGGAGCTGTCAGCTACAGCAACGAACAGCAGGCTCCCGCGGAAGTGGACGTGAGGAGAGGTACGCCTGATCTTGCTATTAGATAGACGAGAAGTTCTGGGGCTTTACGTGCAAAAGACACGGTACGATTATCAGACGTGCCGTAGTTGGGGACAATGGCTTCATTTTAAACACTTGAGATATTTTCATCTTCACGAAGGTGTTCTTTGTGTTTCGTCCCCGATGAAATGAAGCCGTTGCAACCGATAATTCAGTTGATTCAGCGCCCTAGAGCCATCGGGTGACTTTGGTTGTGTGCGTGCGTGCGTCTGTGTGAGTGGGGGGGGGGGGGGGTATGCATTTTTAACAAGCAGATGAAGATGTTCGCTTTCAAGTACACGAAACTGTGCAAAAGTTAGCTGCACATGGCACATAGCTCATCAGCTGCTCTTGAATGACTTCTGGTGTAATCGTCTCATTCACCGAAATAGTTCACAGAATGTCGAATGTATTCCGAGTAACGTAAGTTATCCTTAACCGGACAAATATTGGGAACCATATGATTAGAGTGCATTTCAAATAACACATTGTTGACTCAATACCCAAGGGAATTGCTTGATCGCTCTTGAATTTTGGATCCACCGGGATGAGATATGTGTGTTGGTTCTATATGAAGAAACGGTTGCTGGTGTTAGAAAAATAAGTCTACCCCCGCTAAGTTGTCTTTGCGGACGGCTGCAAGACGAAGTATGGTTCATGAGACAAAAAAAAAAAAAAAACTGCTGCTTACGTGAAATAGCTTAAAAGCATTCGAGGAGAACAAAGATTCAGCTGAGTAGCTTATATTGCACGATATATTCACGCATGCTTCTTTTTTTAGTAGCTTCATGCTCTTTTTGGATGGTTGAGAACTCCCCATTTCCTACACACGCAGAGTTATCAGTCTCAAGATACGTGAAGATGAGAGAGATATCTTTCACTGTCGCGATACGAATTCATCGCCACTCCTAACTGATTTCTACTGGTAGTTTCTTATTGAGTGAGTGTGAAGCGAAATCAGTGTATCGCAAATTCACAAAAGGCATTTTCGCAAAGGGCATGATACACACTTTATTTTCAATTGAAAGAGAAGGAATCACAAATGCTTCATTGAGCGTAAGCATTAAAACAATGAATTTTCCTAACAATGTCAGTAACGATAAAGGATCTGATGTGAGAAAGTATAAGAAAGCAAATTATAAGTGTACGAGATGCAAACAGGTATTATGTCTAGAAAAAGTATAAAAAGAACGTAACCACAGCTTGGCAAGGGGAAACAATGTGGACTAGCACTCCAGAGTTGTAACTTTTGTGTCTGTTCTGAAGCAGTTTAAACAGAAATTTTGAGTAGCCAGAGATAATGGACCTTGTGCAGTCAGTATGCATTTGCACCAATTCGCTTTAATTCCTCTCGTGGAGGCACCGAAGCGAAGAGATGTGGAATGGTAATCAGCCCCGGTTAATGTTGGTGCGTTTATTAGGCGAAGACTAATATCAGATGCGAAGAGGCGCACATCGTACTATTACGCCCCTATATTGAAGGGAACAGTATGAACTGCACAATACTTGCGACAAGAACGCCTGCGTCAGTCAAGGCAAACACATTTTTCAATGCGCAGTGACGGCACAAAATGGGTGTGGCCGCTGTCGGCAGCGTTGCGCAAAGCAGGGAGTGCCCGGAAACGACGGCGCTTCTCGGTTGCCGCTGTTTGAAAAAGTGACGGCACCTATTGACATATCGTGTACACTGCGTGTATTTGTAGGTGCGAAAACTATCCTTGAGCATTCACAAAGAAGCGTGTGCAATGTGAAAGACTGGACATGTCTTCAACAACTTTCTGGATCGAATAATAATTCACCAGGCCCCAAAATTATAGAACATGCTGGCATTTAATAGACTAAACATGATTCAGTTGACTTCTGAGGTTCAACACAATTAGACTTTTGCTTAGGAGAGTGAACCGAATGAACTAAAATACTGAGAAAAAAGGCTACACAATCATCTCCATGATTGGGTATTGTTTCTTCAGTTTTTGCATTTACTTTTGCGATTACTGAATCTTTTGAGTTTTTTTTTGTGTTGCGAAGGCATACCTTACAAAGCACTATGCCATTCCATTACGTCACAAGGCATTTAGGTTTTTTACTGTAGCTGAACACAAAGCTGCCGTTTACAGGGCGGTTCTGAACTGTTTATTTCTGCTATCGATGTCAAAGTTGTTCATAAAAATTTAAGCGGCTTGTAAAGCCAGCGAAATTAATTTACGGGCATTTGAATCACGTGGTGTACATAACACGACGTTGGGTAGAAGCAAAGATTACACTGCCTGCAGAGTGGCGGCATCCTTTTCTATACCGTTTGTAGCAGGACACGCGTCATTATTATTCCATAGCCTTGTTGAATATTACACAGAGGTTTTTGGCGCGCGTTATATGGCGACCTCATTTTTCATGTTTCTTGAAATCGTTAAACCTTATCAAGCTTATGTGATTGAGCACTGCAATATGTGTAAAACTCAAAAAACAAGTTTTTCCAAAGTTTGCACCTGTTGGTATCGACTGGTCCTCCTTGCTCAGACTTCGAATTTGGCCTCCTTCGGCCTAACAAACTAACCCACCCAGCAGCAAGCTTCATGGAACGAACTAATGCACTGTTTGCCTGTTTTGATGATGTTTATCCAACGAAAGAGGATGTTTGCAACTGAAAGTTATCTAAGAATATATATATTAAAATAAATAAGTAATACTCACAAAACGTACATAATATATATGCTAAATTTTGTCGCTTAAACGTGTATATGGTTTGTCGTTAACTTGCCCATACTGTCACGCTAACAGGTATGTGTGTCCCGTATTTCCCACCGGTGAACTTCACCGAATACTCGTTGTACTGGCAGATTCAGAAATCAATTTATGATTGCGTACAGTGGAGGCTCATTGTAATATTATGTTAGAATTGAAGTATCGCGCCACATTATAAGCAGCTGCCAGTCACCTCTAGATACCTTCAAGTACCGGTCCATAAAAAGATTGGTATGTGTTGCAATCGTAAACCACAACAAGATTAAAACCTGGCTGCATTAGAATAGGAGAAATGAGCCACCAATAGCAAGTACATGTTTCTCAATAAGTAGACCGTTCGGCCGTTTAACCTGCGTACTTTTTGCATAGGTGCGCAAAAACCATAGTGCCCACCACGCTTATCTGAGGCAATACGTGCACCTAAATGCACAAACGTATATGAAAAAATGGCTGATCGAGGCAATAATCAATTTCCAAAACATTTTGCATATATGGTGAGTGGCTTTACATCATTTACTTATTGTACAATTCTCACAGTTTAACACCTGTGTGATTCTGCCCTTCTTTCAAGACTTATTATATCTGGTAGCAAGGCTACTTGGTTGACATGACGCAATTAACGGTTTTTTTTTAGCAGATTAGTACTGGAGCTGTTCTATGGCATACCCTCGACAACAGCTGCTTCGCCTCTTTAGTCGTACTCAGATTTCAAGGTCATCGTTTTTTGTAAAAAACAAAAAAAACACCTCGTTTCCAAAGTCAGCATATGGGGCAATTGTCCTAAAATAAGACAGAAAAAAAAAAGATGGGAACTCACTCAGACCCATTAAAAAAGCCATTTTCCTCCAAGAGCTAACTCAAACTCACACAAAAAAGTTTTCATTGCAAAACTCGCTTGGACTCAGACTCACCAAACTTTTTCCAAACAGGACTCACTGGAACTCAAACTGACCAACATATTGCCAACACGAGCTCTCTCCGACTAACATTCACGGCTTGACGTGAGTGTGAGTGAGTCGACTCATAAGTCAATAACTGGCATAAAATTAGTTTTTCCGATAATAGTGTGAATGCTGTTTAACGCAACTATCTCGTGTAGTCGGGGCAGTATGCTGTAAGCCCTTTAATCTCGTGGCTTCAAATACAAGTTATCAATGGCTACAATACAGTAAAGATGCTTTTTACGAAATGTGCAGCTCCCACGAAATATTTTCATCAAAAACGTCCCGTGAAAGAATTTGTAAGGAAAAAGCCTTGCAGCTCTCCCTTCCTTCACCCACCTTGTTTCACTCAAGCCTCTGATCAACGAACAATGAGGTATAGCGCATGAATGCTAGTGGATTGATGTGTGAATAGACTTGAGTGAACATTTAAGCTGACATAAGGCTGATAAGAATGCTGATAGGTGAGCAGGTATGACCATAGCTCGGCAATAAAAGATGGAGGTCACTCAGACTCAACGAAGAAGCATACTTTGCCCTTAGGGCTCACTCGAATTGAAACTCACGAGTATTTTCCTCAACCACACTCACTCGCGCAACACTCATCAATATATTGCTCACTCGGACTCGCTCGGACTCAGACTCGCGGATCAGTCTCAGTCTGGGTCACTTTGAGTGAGTCGACTCAAAAGTGAGCTTGCCGTTCTATGCTTGTCACTATGATAGTTTTTGTTGGAATGCCCTAGGAACTTGCACATTTTGTGGCGTGGTACTGTAACTTTATCGCAGTATTAAAATCTGCTTCCACAATGCATGACTGTGTGTCAATTTACGAGTCGTCGTAAGAGCTAATGTAGCGGAGGTAATAATTACTGCCGTAGTTTAATTTCCACAAACCGCTATATGATTATGAGATTCACCATACTGGAGGGCTCACGAAATTTCGACCACCTGGGTTTCTCTAACGTTCATCTAAATCTTGGTGCACGGTAATCAAGGATTTCCACCTCCATCGAAAGTACGGCCGTCGTGACTGGTATTCTGTCCTGGTACCTGTGGGTCAGCAGTCGAACAACACAACCACCAGACCACCGCGGCGTGTAAAAAAGTAGAGTGGGCTACTGACTATAGTGCGCTAATGTGATAGACAGAAAAGCCAAGGCTACCGGAAAACCAAATATGCTGACACAAACAGACCGAAAGCTCTCAGGCATATGTGTGCGTTTTCGTTGTGTTTTGCTTTACGTGTCACAGTATAGCACGTTGGATAAAGTGGCTCGTTTCATTACTAATTTCAGTCTACAAGTGCGACAATCTCCCCGCCCCCATTTCTTCTTATTTACTTACAGGTGAACGTGTGGCCTGCGCCGTGAAATCACGCAAACAGCACATTCTTCGAAATCCTCGTCGTATATTTGGCATGGCAAGAAGTGATTTGCTCTTATTATGCGTTAACGGTTTACTGCAGACGGCGCTCGTAAAATTTCTGTTCGTGCACTCTGAAACTTTTCCAAAAGCGCGTACCCTAAGGAGGTGCGTCGTAGTAGTAGTCCCATATGAGCACTTGCAGGCGCATTCGAGCACTTTCCATCAATTCCATCCAGGTGTACTGCCGTGCTCACGAGATTCGCGTGAGAAGGATTATAAAGTCGAGTGAGAAGGGAGATATGTATGCTTTGTAAGGCGGCCAAAACTCGGAACAAAGCCGGATAACTATCATGCTTATTTAGTCGTCAACTGTGCCACTGATTGAGCAGCGTTCTGCGACCAACTTCCGGCATGAGCGCCCTATAGACACAAACACTAACGTTTCTGCTGAACAGCTGTGTGTTCTCCACACTGTGGTGAACAGCATGTGAGAGGATGATAGTACTGACGTTTAGGGCACAAATGCCATATTGAGGGTTTCTGATAAGCTATGCTTGCAAAGCTGCGGACGCCAACATTGTGACATGCCTAATGAATGCGTGGGCACTGCTTCTCCGACCAGAAGTTGCTTCGTACACTGCGCTGCATCAATGTGTTGCGCAAGCGTATCCTTAAAACACCTTGAAATAAGCATCAGTAGAACGGTACGGCTTCATTATAAAAGCAAGAGCTTCGTAACTTGATGAAAATAATACAATTTTCATTACTGAAGCATGGTAACAGCATTGTTGACAAAATAGTCGGCTATATTGCGGCGGGTCTGCTCCATAGTCTGCCATGCTTTGCACGAAGACTACAAAATATAACAACTTGAAGTATGAATGATAGATTACATTTTCCAGTTTTAAGTGATCTGGAGTGCTACTGCGCAGCAGATTATATTTGGCTGATCTAAATCAACCTTTCCGAACATAATCCCTTAGACAAGCACCTCGGTGAAAGAGCGCTTTGCAACATGTCCCCGTGCACTTGCACAGTGTTGCGAGTCAGTAGACAGCACATAGATCGTGTAGTCCCCTTAATTATTACACAATTGAAAAGCTTTGCAAGCAGTTACGACTGGTTCTTTATTCTGAGCACAGCTTCTATAGTGCCTCAATACCGGCAAAGTTGAACCACAAGTATAGTAATAGCACGTGTAACGCAAGCCAGAAAGAGCGAAATGAAATGTGCAAATGAACAATAAGGAGCTAGCCAGAACACAAAACAAATAGCTAATGTGACCTTCTTCGTGTGGATAAATGACGTGTGTACGCTCTGCCATGCAGGCTCCCCGATGCTGGGCTGCAAAGAACTGCGCTCCAAGCGATACATCTCCGATGGCCACTGCACCTCGGCGCGTCCTCTGCTGGAGGTGGTGTGTGCGGGCGCCTGCTTGCCGATCGATCAGCTGCCCTGGTACTCGGACGGGTCGCCCGCCGGAGCAAGCGCTAGCTGGAGCTGCGAACCGGGAGCGGTGCGCCTCCGGCGGGTCCACTTGCTCTGCCCGAACGGCGAGCGCCAGAGCTACCGGGTGCCCGTGGTGCGAGCCTGCAAGTGCGTGCGGAATCTGGAACACGCTACGCACGGGTCCTGAAACTTGCCAATAGATGGTCGGCCATCGTCTCACTGTGCGATGCGCTTGGTTTGGCTATAACGCTTGTGAAGCCAAATTTCCATGGTTGATGACTCGTGAGAGTGAAAAATGTTTCTAGTGCTCTGTACTGAGTAGCTGTGAACTAGACTAGCTGGGTGTTATGGCTTTGCGACATAACAAACTAACACATGTAGATAAACAGCCGTTACAGTGCATAGAAAATTTCGTAACAAACTTTCGCTTTCACTGAATGTTTCAGAGGCTTACGGATTGTACAACTACGTCGATATCAAGGAAGCCACAAGGCTCCCAGTTTTTTATGACTTTCATCACAGCAGTTCTGAACTGTCACATCAGGAAGCAACGCGGTCGCATGAGGATCGTTGTTATGGCGTCACTTGAAACCCGCTGTCTATCACACTTTTCAGAGTACCACTGACTATCATGGCCATTGCGTTATCTCTGAAATTTCGTTGTTGAAAACATAACTTCCGACAAATGACAACAATGACGTTTTATTCAGTTTTGGAGTTTGTGAAACGTTATTTGACTGGTATACTGAACGTTAATTTTCAAACTGGTGCTCTTTTACACGCACAGCACGGAAGCGGATGCTTGAAATGGCTCGTCAGGAGGAAAAACTAGCGTCGCGCCCCCCAAAACAGTGTCTAATGTCCAATTCGTTGCGACACGCCGTAACAGGGGTGCCTCAACACAGCAAAGCGAAAAAAAGAAAAAACGTGCCCTGGCTGCCATGCAGGACCCCTAGGCGTAGCTAAAGGGAAGAGGACACTCATTACAAGTGCTCATGTATCTTTCGAATAATAAACTGGCATTTTTGGCTGCGACAAAGCTTGTTGTAGTCGACCTTGGGGTTAGAGAAATTTCAATTTTGTCGTCATGAGAAGCTGATAGGTTGAAACCGAGAAACCTATCCCAATGGCACGGATAGTTTCATTTAGGTACACAATGTCATCATCCCCATTAAGTTTCAAATGTCTGTGGACACTATTCTTTCAAGTGCCCGAGAGAAGACATTGAAACAGAAGGCGACAAAAGCTCTGTTGAAATTCCTACGCGACTCGGACTTGAACAAGCAGCTGTACCAGCAATGTCACACACCGCGAAAGACAAGACTGGACTATGACTGAGGTGCGCGCGTGTACTGCCGAATGTGCTGTGTTTATCTCTCTTCCCTGTCTCCTCTCTGTCTTTCATCTTCCCCATCTCCCTCCCATGCGCAGGGTAGCAAACCGGCTGCCCATAGGCTGGTTAACCACCCTGCCGTTGTTTTCTTCCTACTTTCCTTCCTTAAGTTTCATGCTGCTATAAAACGCGACGCCGTTGGCACTTACACAAAAAGCAGTTACACAAATTGCCCTGCTTCTCACTAGAGACAAGTTCCATTTGTTTTGTAACATCATTTGAATCAATTAACTGAAATTATTTTTGTCATATACGTCATAGCGTATAGTCTATATGAAGTTGATCTCAAACTCTACAATTCACTAACTAGTGATAAAATGACACAGGAACGTAAACATAATGTCGCTGCATATTTCACCAACGCTATCCCAAAACAGCACTTACATTCGCATATTACGTGGACAGTTGCGGGTACTAAACATGAATATTGGATGCTTAATGGCTACACTGTGGGTGCATTATTATTTTTATTCTTTAATATAATAGGTGCTCTGCTTCCCACGCATAAACATTACTGATGAGAACTTATCAGCAGACATGGTCAGATTTATATAAGGTAAACTACATGCGGACGCAACGCGCCTGCTGGAGCTTGGAATCCACGCATGTATGACGCATGCATGATTATTGTGCATGAATGACACTGTCCAGTGCCCTCAGAATCACGCTAAGTAAATTTTGTTTTGTTTTTGTTATGCTAGAAAAATTGTGCGAAAATGCCCGCTGTTTGCGTGCAGATACAAACGTCCAAATACGGTCACACTGGGCGAGTTTGCTTGTCTCTGGCGCTAAAACGACGTTCACTGATCGACCTCTGTCAATAAAAGAAAATCTGCGCTGAGCAGTTCCAATACCTTTCGTTGTATAATCAAAATAAGAATAGAACGGAAAACAAATGTCTCGTGTACAGCTTCTGATAAAAATAATAAACACTGGTATGGTATGGATGGATGGATGGATGCGAAGTTTTAAAGTCCTGAGGTACATGACTCAACGCGCAGCGGGCCGCTCCCACGTTGGGACAGTCAGGCCAAGCCCGACCACCGCATCACGGGCCGTTGATCCCCGACATCGGGGCTCTTGATAGCAAATAACCACTTTTCTTCATTCGATTAATGTGTGCCTCGCAACGAGGAGCATCGCCAGAGCATGTGGTCTAGGCTGGCGAATTCGTTGCAGGGCCTGCCAGAGCTATTAGGATAAACGTCAGGGTAAATTTTATGCAATAAAGTTGGGCTGGAATAGGAACCCGGCTGGAGTAGCCTGAAATTCAAAGCCTGCGTTCGATTTAACTTAATGTTGGGAAGGGGAAAGTCTCTCCTGCGAAATAAAAGTGCTGGGTAATTTCATTATAAGTGGTCGGTTGATCTCTGTTCTCCACAACTGCGGGCCGGTGGGGGAGATCTCCGTGGTCGCGGAAGCATGACTTCGCGATTTTGAGTGGACCAGCTCGTTCAGGCTTGTGGGGCCTTTCCAGATGAATCCCATGTGAGCGCGGAGCCACGTGAGAGTGTGGGGGGTGATGCTTTCGCCCTCCAGTATATGTGATAGGCTTCTTTACACTCGGCGCTAACGTTGAAGGCACGGATGGCTGCCCTGGAGTCGCTGAATATATGTTCATGTTTGTCACCCAGAAGCGCCAAGGCAATGTACACTTGCTCGGCCACACACACGACGACGAGCATCGTACTGAAGTAGCGTTAGTGGTCGAACCCCTTTGGTTGATTGATACTGCTTCAAAACAATTTCTGTCGCCATATTGAGCCGCGTCAAAGAAGCAGCTTCCACAAGGAAGTTCTGATGCCCGACGTAGCAGCATCACCGCCCTGGCCTTCCTTCTTCCTCATTGCACTGGGGATGCATTTTGTGCGGGGCGGGGGATATGATGAGATTGTTTTTTTTAGGAGCGAAGCTCCTCAAGTCGTGGGCTGTGCGTCCCCTGTATGTAGCCACCTCTCGTTCAGTTCTAAGTATTAAGCTAGCCACCGCCCGATCTAAAGGGTACAGCCATATCCATCCGTCCATCCGTCCATCCGTCTGTCCGTCCATCCATCCATCCGTCCGTCCGTCCGCCCGTCCGTCCGTCCGTCCGTCCGTCCGTCCGTCCGTCCGTCCATCCATCCGGTCATCCATCCGTCCGTCCGTCCATCCGTCCGTCCGTCCATCCATCCGTCCATCCGTCCGTCCGTCCGTCCATCCATCCATCCGTCCATCCATCCGTCTGTCCGTCCGTCCGTCCGTCCGTCCATCCGTCCGTCCGTCCGTCCGTCCGTCCGTCCGTCCGTCCAAAAGATGCAAGATGTTATAAACTAGACGGCGGTACGTGTAGTTGATTATGAAAGATGCGAGGTGTTATAAAATAGGAATGACGCCACATATGGCGCGTGTCATCGTTCGATATAGTGCGGCGACGTACGCTAGGGGGAGCGTTGCAATAAAATCGAGTGGGAAAAATGTACGGAGGATTCATGGTTTACCAGGTTTACCTCCGGAGCTTCGCCCACTCATCATCATTCACTTCGTGGATATGGCGGCATTTTTTTGCTCTTTCAGAAGGCCCTGGTAGATGTCTTTAACTTTGGAGAATGGGAAGTCCATCTCTATGAGCAGTCGTCTGCCCACCCTGGTGCCAGAAAGTCTTACAATCTGCGCCATTTCTTGTGCCTCTGCAATCTCTTCTAGGGTATTGTGAATTTCTAATTGCAGGAGTTGGTCAGTGCGTGTGTATATTGGTAGCCCGAGCACTCTCTTGATCCCCCTTGTTATTATGGCGTTTAGCTTGTCTCGCTTAGCCCTCTTTCAGACGTGCATAGCCGCTACATACGCGAAATAACGTAACAAGAAAGCGTGTACGAGCCTTATCAGGTTTTCTTCACTCAGGCGTCGCCTTCTGTTAGCTACCTGCTTGATGAGACTGATGACGCTATCCGTGTTTGGGAACTGGATATCCACTCTTGGTGTAGAGATTGACGTCAATTTCGGTGGGGGGTTTCCAACTATCTGGCTTGGGTCCTTTCCTGGTTGGATTGTACAGAAGGAGATCTGATTTGTTGGGGGGAATACCGGAGTCTCGTGTCTTCTAATAATCACTCTGTTGTATCGACAGCTTCCTGGAGAGTGGCTTCGACTTGTCCGTCACTGCCTCCCGAGCACCAAACAGTAATGTCGTCCGTGTAGATCGCGTGACCAATGCCCTGGATTTTGGCTAGGTCTCCCGAGAGGTCAAACATTGCAATGTTCAAGAAGAGTGGCGAGAGAACTGATCGCTGTGGGGTGCCCCTTCCACCTAGCTCCATTTTCTTTATTTCCAACTCACCAACCTACAGGACGGTGCATCGTCTGCAAAAGAAAGATCTGTTAAAATTATGGAAGGACGAGTCTAAGTCGAGTTCGGAAATGGCGCCGAGAATGAACTCGTGACGGATGTTATCAAAAGCCTCCTCCAGGTACAGACTGAGGATGGTTCTTGTGTCCCGAGTGCAAATGTCTAGTATTTCGATCTTGATAAGCTTCATTGCATCCTTGGTGGAGAGGCCTGACCTGAAACCCATCCCGTTGTGAGGGAAGAGGTCCTTGGTATCACCGTGCTCGGTGAGTCTGGTAAGAATGGCGTGCTCGGCTTAGACACCCTACCCAAGATGTGAGGGAGATGGGGCGCAGGTTGCCCAGTCTTGGTGGTTTACCAGATTTAGAAATGAGTACTACCTACGCCTTCTTCTATTGTTCCAGCCCTATTCCCTTCTTCCAAATGCTGTTTATCTCATCTGTGAGTAAGTTGATTGACTCGTCTTGTAGGTTTCTGAGTACCTTGTTGGTGATGTGATTAGGGCCTGGTGCGGGTCTGCCATTTAGGTCTTCTAGGGCACGGCGGATTTCTCTGACCGTAAACGGCTCATCTAGCGCAAAGTTCGGCATCCCTCAATATACTGGATAAGCTGCGTCATCGGCAACAGTTCTGAGTGGAAGGTATTTCTGAGCTAGCCTCTCCAGCACTTCGTCTTGCGAAGATGATTTCTTGGCTTCATGCAAAGCTTTAGCGAGGACACCTCTTTTGTTTGACTTGGTGCCGGAATCGTCAAGCAAATGTTTGAGAAGGTTCCGCTTGTCTCCCGCGTGCATCTGCCCGTCGACTGAATTACAGATGGCGTCCCATCGCTGCCTAGACAGGGTTTGGCAGTGCTCGTCTATCTACCTGTTGAGCTCGGCTATTTTTTTCTGGAGCTTGCGATTCAAGTGTTGGCTTTTCCATCTCTCGAGGATCGATTGCTTGGTCTTGAGAAGATGTGCCAGCCTGCTGTCCATTTGTTCTACTCGTATATCTGTCTGTATGGTTTTCCTGATTGAGTGGACGTCCTTCAGAATACCTTCGGACCACTGGACAATACTCTTGGGCTTTTCGTCACTTGGGGCGCAGGCCTTGCGGACCTCCCGCAACTGGTCCCAGTCAGGGACTGAGAAAACCCTCTTTCCTTTTAGCTCCACTTGTAGGCTGGTGGCCGTGATGTAATGATCACTACTTAAGTCTACCAGCAGATTCAACCACACAGGTGAGCCAGTGTCTTTAGCAAAGATGAGATTTGGGATGGAGTCCCTAGTCGAGGACATGCCGCGTGTAGCGGGAAACGCCGGGTCCTTCAGTAGAGAAA